GGGATCCAGCAGGATTTCCATCCCGGGATCCAGCAGGATTTCCAACCCGGGATCCAGCAGGATTTCCATCCTGGGATCCAGCAGGATTTCCATCCCGGGATCCAGCAGGATTTCCATCCCAGGATCCAGCAGGATTTGGATCCCAGGATCCAGCAGGATTTCCAACCCGGGATCCAGCAGGATTTCCATCCCGGGATCCATCAGGATTTCCATCCCAGGATCCAGCAGGATTTCCATCCCGGGATCCAGCAGGATTTCCAATCTGGGATCCAGCAGGATTTCCACCCTGGGATCCAGCAGGATTTCCATCCCGGGATCCAGCAGGATTTCCAATCTGGGATCCAGCAGGATTTCCAACCCGGGATCCAGCAGGATTTCCAACCCGGGATCCAGCAGGATTTCCACCCTGGGATCCAGCAGGATTTCCAACCTGGGATCCAGCAGGATTTGGATCCCGGGATGATTCCAGGAGGGAACAGCTATCCCAATTTCCCCCTCCTGATTTCCCATCTTCTCACCCCCTCAGGATGTGGCAAACTCTGATTAAACTCCAATTAAACTCCGATTAAACTCCGATTAAACTCCAATTAAACTCCGATTAAACTCCAATTAAACTCCGATTAAACTCCAATTAAACTTCAATTAAACTCCGATTAAACTCCAACTAAACTCTGACTAAACTCCGACTAAACTCCGATTAAACTTCAATTAAACTCCAACTAAACTCCAATTAAACTCCAATTAAACTTCAATTAAACTCTGACTAAACTCTGACTAAACTCCAATTAAGCTTCAATTAAACTCCAAATAAACTCTGACTAAACTCCAATTAAACTCCGATTAAACTCCAATTAAACTCCAATTGAACTCCGACTAAACTTTGACTAAACTCCGACTAAACTCTGATTAAACTCCAATTAAACTTCAATTAAACTCTGACTAAACTCTGACTAAACTCTGACTAAACTCCAATTAAACTCCGATTAAACTCCGATTAAACTCCAATTAAACTCCAATTAAACTCCATTAAACTCCAATTAAACTCTGACTAAACTCTGACTAAACTCCAACTAAACTCTGACTAAACTCCAATTAAACTTCAATTAAATTCCAACTAAACTGACTCAACTCCAATTAAACTCCGACTAAACTCCAAATAAACCCCAATTAAACCCCAATTAAACTCCGACTAAACTCCGACTAAACTCCAACTAAACCCCAACTAAACTCCAATTAAACTCCGACTAAACTCCAATTAAACTCCGACTAAACCCCAACTAAACCCCAATTAAACCCCAATTAAACCCCGATTAAACTCCAATTAAACTCCAATTAAACTCCAATTAAACCCCGATTAAACCCCAATTAAACTCCAACTAAACTCCAATTAACCTTCCTCCCTTTGGTCCAAAACCAACCCAAATCCCACCTCTGCCACCCCCGCTGCCCCCAGCTCCCCCCCAATCCCAAATTCCCGAACCACCTCCCAATTCCCACGGGGGCTCGGCCTGGAAAAGCTCCGAGGCTTCAGGGCCGGGAGGAAATTCCCACTTTTCCCTCATTTTCCCCCTTCCCTCACCGGGTTAAGCGGCTGCGAGGTCAGGAGCTGCTGCAGCTGCTGCAGCTGCTGCTCGTGCTGCTGCAGGACGTGCCGCTGCTGCTCCGTCAGCGGGCTCAGGCTGCAGGAAAACACACAAAATCGGCACCCAAAATTATCCCCTTCCACGCCCAGCAGCATCCCGGGCGCGGCGGCGAGGAAAAAATGTATTTATGAAAAGCAGGAGTTGGGAAATGCCTGGCCTGAGCTCAGCAGCTCGGTGAAAAATGCGTGTTTTGTCACCAAAAATTTAAATTTGTGTGGTATTGCGGAGGGTTATTTCGTAATTGCTGCGTGAATCCCTTCCAAGCAACGCACGAAATAGAATTTTAGGTTGTAACGCAATGGTAAAATAGCTTTTGGGAGATATTTAAATGTATACATCGTTTTTGTAAGATATTTTTTTACTAGCACAAGAAAGGGGATGAGATAATGAAGGAATTCTTCGCACAGAGATAACAGCAACACAAAACCTGAAGATTTACAAACTCCTTATCAGAAAACACCAATTTCCTCCCACCTTCTCTCCTATGGAACCACCAGGATTAAGGGGAAGGAGCCGACAAAACCCAGGAAAATTCTGATTTTCCAAGGAATTTATCATCGTGTATGAGCTACATGAATATGCAACAGGCTGCTGCTTTTAAGGGTCATTCCGTTGGTGGTTTTGGCAGCTCACCTGAGGATGGGGAGGGGCAGGATCCGTCCCTCCCTCACCTGAGGATGGGGAGGGGCAGGATCCGTCCCTCCCTCACCTGAGGATGGGGAG